GATCGAAACAAAGATTCTGAGTCCATTGCATAGTTGAGGGACACACGACAAACGGATAATTTATAATAAGATTCCATGAAAATATTGGGATCAGTTCGAAGGAAAGATTTCGAGTTCGTTTTACGGTGGAGGAACACATAAGTAACGAAGATTTCATACCAAGATTGTTTTCAAACACTATGTTCCGTTCCAAACAAAAATTTTGAGTTCATTACGTGGTGGAGGAATGAATGACAAATGAATAATCCATAGTACCAAGTTAGCATTGTATTGTTTTGTTGAGTTCAAAGCAAAGATCTGGAGTTCATCATATGGTAGAGAAATAAACGACAAACGAATATTTTATAGTCAGATTATATTCAAATAATGTTGCTCAGTCCGAAGCGAAGGTGTGGAGTCGTTGAGATCGATTAAGATCACTTGACGGTCGAGTATTTTAATGAGGGTTCTGTTCGAATATTGAAATGGTTATTATTTGGGGTTTGTGTGCTGTGTTTAGAGGGAAAATCTCGTTGAAAAGGAAGAATCCGTACGTTGATTTATTAATTGGCGAAGAACATTATTGAGTTTCGCAGCTTGATTCATTCCTTCTGCCTCCCCCCGTACCATGCAGCTTGTTGCCATTAAAACGAAGAAGACTGCCAAACAAACCATTTTATTGATAATGTGCATTATTGTATAATAGTGCTTGAATGTTTGAAGACGAAGTTGCTAATGGAGTTGAGCAGGTATGATTATCGTATGCTTCTGCAGTTGTGCTGATGCTTTATATATACGTTGGTAGGCCAGTAAAGAGAAATCTTCGAGAAATAAATATGTCAGCAATCGAAAGTGATTTACTGCAATATTGATGGTGCACGTGATGTTAGTATAAATATCTCTTCACCAACAGTCACATTCTTTTGTTTTATTTTACATTATTTCATTTTGATTTATTACTCTATTTCGTTGCATTTTATTTTATTGCTCTAATTTTTTGCTCTATTTTATTACTCTATTTTTTTGCATTTTATTTTATTATCCTAATTTATTGCATCTTATTTTATTGCATTTTATTTTCACCAATCGACGATCTTGTCTCGATCTTTCGAGATTCTTATTTTCCTTGATTATCAAGCCAGGGGCGGAGAGAAAGGGGGTGCACAGATGCCGTGCACCCCCTTTGGTAGAAAAATATCTGAAGAGGGTATTGATACAGTAGCTTGACATAAGACAAAAAGTATTTGCTCGTTGATGTGCACCCCCATGCAAAATTCCTGGCTACGCCCCTGTATCTGGCAAGATTCTTGCTTGAAAAATATGATTTTGCCTTTTAAACAAGATTCTTGTGTTCTTTCCTTCTTGTCTGATTCTTGCCATATCAAAAATAGCCTTTTATCGGTTACTAGCGGGAGCGCCCGATATTTATCGGAAAAATTTGATAGTACATATTCGGCAGATGAGAAAACGAGTGTAGGTGTACGTGAGGGTTTAAAGTATGGATGCGATCGTTTTTCATCAACACACACTACCACTCATACCCCCACTCACTCATTCACGCTTTCACTCTTATTCACCTATCCACCAACTCGCCCACTCACTCCAGTACCATCACTCGCTTCCTCGCCATCACGCTCCCTCACCCTCACCCACTCACTCATTCCGTTATCCTCATCTTCACTCGCACTCAAAACATAGGAAAAATACTCATATACACATTCTTTTCTTTAGAATACGCCAGAGAATTTTTGATATTCATAAACTGGGTGATACTTTACCCAACCGTCCTCCCTTCCTCTCCCCCCCCCCTAGTCGTACCAACCCCTCTCGACCTTTCTCTGGACTAGGGAAGTACCATAGAGAGTTTAGTGATCGTTGCTAATATAGGGACTGATCGCATAGCAAACGGATGGACAAACATTCTTTTATATATATATATATATATATAGATATATAGATTAATAATACCTTTTTCACATGATTTTATTAACAACTTCACATACAATGTACAAAAAACTGTAACACAAAACGATAAAATGTGCATGTAGATATTACCTATATTACTAAAAGCATTTTCAAATAATATGTTTTTGAACGAATGAGGATTTCCTTCTTCGATTTCAGCATACTTTTGTGGATGAAAAAATAAAATCTAAAAAATAAAAAGATATTGATTAGTCATATATCGAATGTGTTCGACAAGTCAAATTTTCGGAGAAATCAGAAAAAAAGAATGTCTATATAATGAATATAAATATTTTCTATAGATTCACTCGGAATCATGAATTGTTAGATGTGGTTTCGATGCAATGAACGCTTAAGAAAAAGTATATGTTCGAAGTGTAACTGCTAGTTAAAATATCATTACAATGAATAAATAATGATTAGACATCTATATATATGTATGCTGAAACAAAAACTACATCACGTATTGATGATATTGGAAAGCTGACAAGAATCTTGTCTTAATACTAAGAAATTTAAGAACTCTTATATTTCTTTCTAGTTTCTTTGTCTTCATAATAATCAGGCAAGATTCTTTTGTCCTTGAACTTCAAGCAAGATTCTTTTTAAAGAAAAGAAAAACAAGAATCTGGAAAGATCGAGGCAAGACTGTTGACTAGTTTTATTACTCTATTTGATTTTATCTTACTTCATTTTATTGTATTTTATTTTATTACTTTTTTTATTTATTGCATTTCATTTTACCACTTTTTTTATTTTATCTCCTTCAATTTTATTGTATTTTATTTTATTACTCTGTTTTATTCCCTCGACTGTATGGAGGATTATATGAAATAAAATACAATTGTATGTATGTTGGTGTCTGAGTGAAAAAACACATAATACGTTATAAAACTTGATCAAAAGGTTTTTGAGGCCAGAAACTTCGAATCTGAGATTTGTTTAATCAGACAACTCAGGAGTGAAGGTAATAGAAATCGAGTTTTGAAGAAAAAGCATTTTTGTGGATACTTTGATGTTGTATTTCTTGTAGAGAAGTATGCAAAACGCTGAAATCATGTTTTGTCACTTGTGTTAATTTCCACACCGTAATTATTAGATGAAGGATTCTCTAAGAAAAAATTGATGTTGAAATCTAAAACGTGACTCCATTTTCGAGTGCTATCGATTAGCATGCGAATGCATGTTGAGAGCGATGAAAAACAAAGAGATTCTGTTTTCAATGAATGTGGATGTGAGTGTGGGTCTGGGTATAGATAAAAACTCAAGAGGAATATTCATACTTCCACATACACTCTCTTTGAAAAGAAAAATAAATGAACTTTATTTGGACGTTTAGAACTAAAAAAGCGTATCCATCCTACGGATATTGATATTTTTTTTTATTAATTCTACTTCTGTGTTTTTTTTCGTTTGAAATATTAATTCTTTGCCTCGTTGTTTGGTTTCAATCGTGTATATTCAAAATTTGTTTATTTTAATAATATAAATAAATCATATACGTGTATATTAATCTGCTATTTAATAAATTGCAAGAAAAAATTTATAAAAATACTCTTGAAATGGGAGGGTGTGTTTAAAAAGAATAATATACAATATAGATTAGAAAACTTTTATTCATACTTCATATTCTATTTCCTGTCAATAATATTTTTTTTTGTCATATTAGTGTATTGATATAGAAATAGTTAGTTGACAATTATATCTTCTAGTTAAAATATAACATATGAATAATTTGATCAATTAATCTTTTCTCTGTAAATATATTATATCAACACATTTCTTTCATTCGTTATAATTACAAGAAGAAATCCTTGATAACATATGTGAGAATAACTATGATTCATTTGTATTTTTTGTCAGCTGCATTTTTTACTCATTTCATCAAATTTTGATTTAATAAATATTAAAATAGGTTTGTAACTAATAATCATCGTCTTTTCATTTATCGTATATTTTCAACCTTCAAATTATATTTCAATAAGGTTAAATACATAAGATATTTCCTTGAGAAAAACAATATTACAATCAAATATTCCCGAGTCATTGATTTATATAATTGCAACGACTTCTTTTTTATTACAGTAAATACTCGAAATATATTTTTGTTAGGTGCGTAATAAAGAAAGAGATAAGAAAAATGGTGCCAGTTATAGATAAAAAAAATAAAGATTCTCTTTTATAATATCTATCCAATCAAAAGAATAGATAGCACCAAAAAAGAACTACTAGTTTGTAGTGGATAAAATGATATAAATGCAGAATAACACAAAATATGATTCAATATTATTGATATATTTACACATATTAAGAATGTTATATACTATTAGAGGTAAGTCAGTATTTGATTTAATTATATAGAGAACGTTCTTTTATTGGAATCAGTATTGAAAGATATAAATACCAGATGCCTTTAAGACACGTCCTGTCTTGGAAATGAAAAGTATAAAAATATATTAAATAGACGACAAGATATTGTCTTAAAATTCGAATTTATTCTATAGATTTCTGGCAAAAAATATTTTTCTATTATTACCAGTATTTATTCCGTGCTTGAGATTTTAATCTCAAAGGGAGTATGCTAATAACTTTTTTGAAATGAGTTCATTAATATCCGATGTTTCATAGTCATTCTTAAGATAGTATCCGTTCCGGAAACTTATTAGTATAATTAATCAAAAATTGTGAAAAACATCGGCATTACTTTTAACTATTTTCAATAGATTCATAATATGTCGTATCTTTGTTATTATCGTTATAATTCGTTTTACATTAATTACCTGTACTATTCTTAGTAGTCTTTTCATCAATAATCTTTGTATTGAAAAGTTAGATAAAAAAAGAATGACATAGATCTTTTTTTTCTGAATATTCTATTCTTATACAAACCAGATTAATCATCGAAGCTGAATTATATGATAATAATAATTCCATAGAGAAAGCTTTAATAGGCATCTATTTTTCTCCTATATAACAAAGATTTTCTTACTAGTTTGCGTTTATTCTATCATTCTGTTTTTTTCTTTCTATTAGATCAATAGAAGAAAAAAAATTCGATGTTACTTATTCAATCTCCAAGTATAATTTTTGCATTTATATTTTCAATCGTTTCAATTATTTTAACAATTTTAACATTTAATATTGGTTATAATCATCCAAAACATCATATACAATTTCTCATTATTTTACCTCCATTAAATAGTGTATTTTTATTTTTATTATCATTAACATGGATTGAACGTCGTTTTCGTTTATCATATATTCCATTTATATGTCTAGTTATATTATTAATTTCATCAATAACATTAACAATAGTATCATATTTATTTTTATCATTATCAATTATAATTTATTTAAATTTGATTTTCTATTCTATTTTAACTAGTATAGTATTATTAATAATTCTAATTGTTATTATATCTTATTTATATGGTTCAATAAATAATTATCAATGTCGTACTAAATCGACAATAGATCAACAAAATAATGAATTATTAAAAAATAATAATACATTTCAAGTTGATAAACTTGTATTAAATATCAATGAAAATGAATTAATTTTATTTATGTCGTATTTTCCTGGTAGACATACATATCATGATATACAAAATATAGTTAATGATTTAAATCAAATTAATGTTGATTCAATATTAACATTAAATGAAACAAAAGAATTATCATTTATGAATATAACAAATGATAATCGTTATAATATGGATACATATTCAACCTATATAAAACGAGCAAATATTGAACATATTATTTATCCAATTCGTAAACGTTTTATACCTAAATCAATTAGTGATTATATGCAATTTTTATATGGAATTATCAATAATATCAATCGTTGTAATTATAATCGATTACTTGTTCATTGTATGAGTGGATTAGGAAGAACTGGTATGACAGTTGTTTGTTTTGAACTTCTTTATGAATATATTATGAATGAAAATGAACGAAAAAAAGGACATAAATTTATTGAACGATTTTGTCATTATCCTTTATTACTTGAGAATTATTGTCGAGTATGCAAATCTATTTCAAATGTCAGAAGAATAAGACCAGGAAGTATCCATAATCCATTACAAATCTTATTTGCACATGAATTTTATGCACGTTTAAAATCTGAATCTTATATGCAACAAATCACAGAAATAATTAATCTTAATGAAAAACGTCTATTGGACAATTTTGAAGAATTACGTTTACCAACAAATATATAAAACAATCAAAATTTTATCTCGATTATTTCATGTCTATCAATCGGAAAAGATAGGTGTGAAGAACGTCAAATAAAAAAAAAATCTCGAAAGATATTGATACATTCTTCATGTTTATTAGCCGTTGTTTTTTCTATTTTAAACATCAAACACATCATGTATATAAGATTGTGCAAATGAATTCTTACGTATATATATATCCTTCAAGCTAATCTTGCTTTCAAATATAGAGAGAAATGTTCATTTAATTAAAACAGGAAACAGCAGGAATAAAAGGAAACAATTCATCTTACGTTTAATACAAACACATCTCTGATTTGATCTACTTTACTGCTGCGTGACAGAATGCCAAAGATTGTTTCCTTCACAGCACGACGCTTTGCATGGTGTGAAAAGGGAATAAAAAAAAGATGAGACGTATACGATGCGTAGCGATGAGAAAAATATCCGTCCATTTACAAATAGTTCATTTTTATTGACAGCATCATTTGTCCAACAAACAGAGCAAAGAAATTCAGCAAGTGTATATATACATTAAGATGGTGATACTGCTGCTTCTTCTTCACACACTTGAATAAGCTCATTTTTGTTTCCTCTTTCTTCTTCTTCTTCAAGTGTGCATCATATATCCTCTTCTACGTATTGTTATGCTACGAAATTTGAGATGAAGATAGATAGAAAGGACAACAAAACAGACAGTTGTGAAACAACATACACAAACACAAGCTACTGTATATATAGACTATTTATGGTCGAGAAACTACTATCAACATACAATTCTAAATCAAAAAAATTTGCGTTTGTTTGATGCATAAGAGTGATACTTGACAAGTTTAAATTACAAACAACTTAACGCATCAATGACTATAACATTCTATCCAAAAAGTAGAACTTCTATAAAGGTTGATCAAATACATTGACATGCAATGTGTGAGATGAACATAAATAGAAGAATTACAAGATAGTTTATCTTATGATGTAAATCGAAACGCATAGAATTTGGAGACAAATGTCACCTAAGATTTAACTATAAAGCACTCATTGCTTTCTTAAACGTTCGTTTCGAATGACTTCATTTCTATTATACACATCGATAGATTATATCACATATATATGTATATATTTTGATACATTCTAATCTTCTCTTTCGGCAAGTTATATATTCCAACCGTTTGAATTATTTGGTCTAATCAAATAAGAATATCATTAGTTTTTTTTCTTCATTCATTCATCGATCATTATTATGTAAAAAAAAGTCATTCTTGTTTCCACTTCATTGACATGACATGCAATTCATAGGAATAAAAAGAATCTGATTCTTCAATCATATAATCTAATGATGCATTTCAAGGAATTTTATCAATGTATTTTTCTTAAATAAAGAAATTTTTAAATCATCAAATACAGCAATGTATGTGAAATATAACAACGAAAGAAAAAAAATATATAAAAGAAAAGTTCATTTCATCTTGCACATACAATGCGCATTTCTATCGCTACATACGCACACACATAATATATATATATACGTTTTTTTACACGGATATTTTAGTTTCGAAGACAAAGATAAACAGAAGAAGAAGAAGAAAAAAAATAATAATTATTATTATTAACAATAAACAAATCGCATGTGAACTATACATACAACAGACGTGATATATATAAATAGAAAAATAAGATATATAAGAAAGTCATGAATGTCTTTTTTAAAGTTTTTTTTTGTCTTATTTCGTAAGTAAAAATGATGGAAGAAATAGATAATCATCGGAATTTAATATTGGAGAATCCATTGGTGAAATTGAACGTGATGATGATACTGATGAACGAATATCACTACCAAATGATGATGATGGAGAAATTGAAGATGATAAAGAATTACTAGGTAAATTCTCTGAATATTCATCATGTAAAAAATGACAACGTGGACCATAAGGACCTAGAATAAATAGATTTTAAGAATAGATTTAATTTTCGAAAAAGAAAAAAGTATTTCTTACAATATCCTGTACAATGATATGTACGACAAAGTATTGTTTTATATTTTGGATGTCGATCTAACGAACGTATTTCATGGTAACCATGAGCAAATTGACATTTTTCACCGTATTTACATAAACCAGTTTCATGATATGAACGACATAGTTCAGTTTTATAACGTTGTGTTGTTGTTTTACTATTATTATCTATTGGAGTCAAAGGTTGTGAATTTGTAAGTAAAACTGGACCACCAACAACTTTTGAATAACCATTTGTCGATAAAGACATATTCTATAATTAAGATAAAAATGAATTAAGTTTTGAAAATATGTTTATAAACTTACTGATAATGTACATTTATCAATAGTAAGAGATGTAAGCATATTATGAAGAAAACAAGATGTATGTTGGTTTGTTGGATGAATATACATGGTGATCGTGTGAAATAACAAGGCACTAATGTCGAGATAATAAGAATTGTACGAACACACCACTTCGTCTATATTTGTCGTCGTTTTCTCTATATATTTTTTTCTCTTTTCGAGCGAATGTCTAATATATGTTGTTTCTTTCTTGCTTTTTCTTCTCTCTATATATTACATGAACATACCATGCGACCAATAGGGATGTTAAAATGATATTCTGGCTAATTTCCAAGAATATGATTTGATCTTATCGATAAAAGATAGTCTTCAGTGCTTTTTTTTTGAAATTCACACTATGAATTCATTCGATTGATCAAATGAACAAGCTACTTGTTTCTTTTATATTTTCTATTTGATGAGAATATCTTATCGGAGTAACAACGTTTTATTTTTCTCCTTCATTATCCGGAAATATATTTCTTCTTCTTCTTCTTTAAGGTTTGAACAAGTTCAAAGATAACGAATAGGTGTTATGAGAGGATAATATATAATGATGATCGATGAAAATCATCTCTTTGATTTGATCAATAGTGACGTAAATCTTATTAACCAAATACGAAGAAAACAATATTTTCGTATAGGTTTTTAACGTCTGATTTTTATGTATATAAGTTTAAATATTATTGAATTCATTAGTGGCATAGGCAATCGATCTTATTAATTTATAGTCGAATAATTTCATTTCCACTTCATGAACCATATACATTGAAGTTTTCCTTGTAATATGATGTAACTAATACAATATTTGAAATTTTAACAATCGAAAAAATAACTCTTACATGATCTTTTCTCATATGTAATCACCTGTTTTCTACTTAGAATTGAATCTTACTTCATTCAAGTGTTGTCTATAGACAATACTAATTTTCTATCACTTCATTCAATAATAGATTATTGAAGAATGACTTCATTCATTTAGATCGACTTGTCTCGATCAGTTAATATTTTTAAGAACACCTGCTGAATGAATTTCGAATGGCAACAGAAAACTTTTTCTTTATCATATTGAAAAAATGAATGATCTAATCGATTTATTTCTTCTGGATATATGTTAAAATCATTTGGATATATTTAAATTATCATCTTATCCATTTCTGATTGAATGAGCAACACAAGAGATTACATATTGTTATTCATGTAATAGAATGATGATCTATCTTCACTTGATGATTGAAAGCGTGAATTGCAGTTATAATTGGATATAGAAAGATCTCCTGGAATGCAATTGACACAGCAGGTTATATGATGAATTTTGTCGAAGATACGTTAAAATTCTCTCTCTCGCTTATTCTTGATGATTACGTCACGCATGTAAATTCGATTGCATAGTCATTATTTTAAATCAAAAGTCAACAGAAAAAGAAAGAAAGAAAGAACGAAAGGATATTCTTATTGTTTTCAAATACATCTGTATGTTTATTTATATAAAGATGAATATGATTGCCTTAAAGCAAGTTAAAATGTTGCAGGTGAATAGGTTTTTCAAAAGATCATTTTATCATTAAGATAGTGTAATTATTGACCATCTGCATTGATGAACATGTGTTGTTTTTATTTTTGTAAGTTAAAGAATGAGAAAATAAGCTTATAATCATATTTAGATTTTTATTACATGTTTAGACAATAAAAATGTGTCAATATTCAGGTGTGAATTTCACATCAACATCTGTGAAGTAAAAACATTGAAAACATTTTACTATGTAGATGGTGTTGTTGTTTTCCTTAACAATAAACAAAAGATGGTTAAGAATATATATGATAGCTATTTGTTCGTCTTTCAACTGTTATATACATCTGACTGATATCATTTAATATTAGAAGTTATAAAATAAGGTGAAACCACAACTTGTTTATTGAAAAAGTAAATGAAAATCAACAAAAAACAAGAAAACATAATTGAACCTATATCAATAACTAATTTCACGGAAGGAATTGTGTTTTTATTGTATTAAATGATCTATAATAATTAAATAGAAATAGAATAATAATGAATGAATTAAATAAATTTTATTACCTCGGTTAGGTAAGATAACAGGATCTGTATCTTTATAAAGAACAGTATGTATTTGTGATCGCAGTGAATATTTAATAAATAAAGATTTTTCGTCACCTATACAAGGATCATAAAAACCAGTTAAATTTGATTTTGATACTGTTGTTCCAATTCTTAATGCTGAATCTTTTACAAGAGCTTGTAATGGTACAGTAACATCAATAATTTGAATTGAATTTTCGTTTGTTGTTGCTGTTGTTAATCGACCATAACGTGCTTCAATTATAATTAAACCTTGTGAACCTTCTCTATCTTTAATCTGTTCAACAAGTGATCGAAGTACTTCTTGAGCATTCATTGCTTCTCGTCTTCGTTCAGTTTGTTTTTCACGTGCTTCATCTTCACGTTTTTTTTGATCTCTAAATAATAAATACAGATTTCATAATTTAATATTCGAAAAGAAATTTTACCGTTCTTTTTCAGATCGAGTAAATGGTCGAATAATCAGACGATCAAGTATAAAATAACCAAGAACTGGCGCAACTGTAGCATAAAATACAGCACTCGGTAGAATTTCTTGTGAGATTTGTAATGGAAATGTAAATGTTTGACTACCACGAACAAATCTAAATTAATTAATTTTTTTTAATGTCTATTTCGTAATTTCAATATATATACTTTAATCTTAATAATACACCTATTTTTGAACTAATTGCTACTGTTGCTGAGCCATGTGTATATTTTGTTAATTGTCGATCTATACCATATTCTATCCATGGTCCAAATATAAATAATCTAAAGACAAGAAAATAATATATATGTATATGTCAGTTATTCATTTTCCTACTTAAGACTACATCGCAAATTACAAATATTAGGAAATCGATATACACCATCAATAGCACCATATGAATTAACGAATCCAAGCTGAAATATAATTAATATATTAGTTATTTTTGTTGTTGTTAAGATGAATTACTTGAATAGCACTTGAAACTGCTAATGTTTGATTATCATAATGAAGACCACCTTTCATAAATGAGTCCACGCCTGTTTTCCATTCAAGACTACTTGTTAAATAATGACTCAATTGATAAGTAATTGAAAAGACAAAGCCAGGTGTTACTATAGCTGAACCACCACTATCAGCAAGGCCAATTGTAGCTGCAACACTTGCTTGGCTAAACTGACGATAAAATCAAGTTAAAATTCATTGATATATACAAAGATTTATTCTACTTACAGTTTTTGTGTAAGACGACGAAAATAACGAACAGCTGCTACATTATGTTGACCAAAACTTAAATCAACCTGAAATTTATTATTTTTCTTAAAAAATAAAATTAATAATAAAATTAACATACACGAAACCAAGATAAATCAGCAAGAACACGACGAAATGATGTTGTTAAAGAACTTGTACCACGTCCATTTCGTGTTGATACAACAGCAGTCACATTAGCTGTATCTTGACTTGTCAATGGTATATCAATACCTTGTGCAACTGTAAATTCAGTCATTTCAATAACAGGTGAAAAATCACTAATAAACAAAAAAAGAATTTAAATCATTGATTTATTTTCATATTACCTGTTTTCATCAGACGAATTCATCTGTTCAAATATATCAGTTAAATTTACTGTCATATGTACGGAACCCTATATATATGAAATAAATAAATATGAATATTTGTTTCAATTGACTTACACTCGGATTTGTTATTTGATTAAAACGTCTTTCTTCACGTTCTCGTGCTAATCGTTCATATTCATCAAGAATTTCACGAGCTGTCTTCGTTCGATTTGCAACCTGCAGACGTACAAAAAAGAAAATCATACATTCATTCATTATACGAATAAATTCTCCTTTACCTCCCAGCCTTCTGCTTTTAAACCTTTCATACCAACAACATCATAAATAGCTCGTTTTTGTGGATCATTTAAAACATCATAAGCTTTTTTAACTTGTATAAAAAGATCCATTGCTAATTGTTTATTCCGAGGTTCTATATGTTTATCAGGATGATAGAGAAGAGTAAGTCGTCGATAAGCTTGTTGAATAGTTGCTACATCTGCCTAAAAGATCTAATATTCAATCAATAATTCTTTATTTCAATAACATACATCTTTATTTATATGTAATATAGCATATAAATCACGCTCTGAATCATGTTGATCCAGATCATCGGCAAAGAAACCTGATGAAGTATCATCATTGTATTCATCATCATCCGATGCCATATATTTTGAAGAAATAATAATCAAAACTAAAAATATTTTATCGATACGTTTTTATAAAATATGTATAGTTACATGTACTAACATAAAGATTCGTCTAATAATTGTACCAACAGATATTATTCATATTTTGAATAGTGTGCGAATAAAATATGAATAGATGTCGTTCTTATATAAAGACTGGAGAGAAATAAAAAAAAAACGTTTTAGATGCATATATTTTTTTGTAATGATATTTTATTTAGTTAAAATCGACTACAAACAATTGAGAATATGAATTTTATTTATTTAAATTAAAAAGTCTTGATATGGATCAGTGGAAGTAACATATTTAACGAAGTGTTCACGTGTTACTTTTGCTTTATCAGTTCCACCACATAATGCAACCCAAACATGTTCAGGTTTATCAGCGTTTTTGATTCCATAAAATTCAGTAATACATTCCAATATTCTTTGACCATATTTACGTGACACGTTTTCACTGTCTGCACCCTTTGGATTATGTGTATCAACAACATAAGAAAGTCGATTGACACCATCCATTGTTTCAGCTAACATAACTATTATAGAAAATAATTCTTCAGTCGTAAAATTACCATTTTCTTCGAAGAATCCAAATGCAGCATCAACTTGTTTTTGATTATTATAACCAACACCTGTTTGATTAATCTCATGACGAGCATCAGCTCTGCTTACAAGTACTGTACCTCCTTCAGTACCAGATTTACGTTTAATATTTTCATGCATATCGATAAATGTTTGTCGAGGAATACCGGTTATTTCTTCTAAACGTTTCATTTCCAAAGACGATCGGTTACTTTTTGTATTTCCCATATTGATGCTTGTGTATTGAATATGATAATCGAACGAAAATGATCAACAAAATTTATATATCCAGATACATGATCATTGAACTGTGACGGCCGATTACTTATTTTTCATTGTTCGCGTATCTAACGTACGAAACAATAGTTAATTTATATTAACGGTCGAATGAGCAATTTTTATCCTTCATTGTGACTTTTATACATACAAAAGTATTGTAAAAAAAATCCTTCTGGAAGGTGCTTTTCTTCGTATAGACAATCAAAATATACATATATTGTAATCATAATAATTGACTATTATTACACTAAGGAGGAGTTATCAATTATTTTTCTTTAAAATGAATGATATAGTATTTTTGATCACTTATTCAGTAGCATGTAACAGAAATTTTCCTCTTCTACGGATAAATGTATATAGCGATTAGCATTAGTAGTGACATCACATATCCTGTTATTGATAAAACCAATCACCAATCAAAAACAATTGAAACACATGTGATGTGTGAGTAGAAGAAAAAAACAGAAAGCACATGAGTTTTCTTTAATTTATCATTTATTTAAAATGTCTACACAAAATACGCGTAAAATATCTTCTATAGTACGATCAATTGAAGTAATCGAAAGTAAATTAAAATAAGACTATTAAAATAATATATAAATATACATATATTCGTAGATAAAGCAAATACAATTTATACTGAATATACAACATCTCATGATGATATTGATCGATTTCAATCGATTCTTATCGATGATAAAAATATACATCTGCAAATGTTTTTTCAACATCTTGAAAAATTATTAGAAGTTGATTTAAAAAGTAAGAAAATAGAAGAATATTTTTCATGTTGATTTCATTTAAATAATCCTCTAGATCGAAAATCATTATTAAATAATAAACGAAATTATTGGGATTTTTTCATACATGCACTTAAAGAAAGTAAAGGTTTATATGATACAATATTATATGTACTCAATAGTCAAGAAGTGAAAACTTCTATTGGTCGTGGTCGTTTATTTCTTCGTTTTTGTTTACAAAATCATCGTTTAGGTGATGTTATACAACAAAGTTTTATGATGAATAAAGTTGTTAGGTATAATAAATTTTATACAAAATTTAATCATAGAAATAAAATTTATTTAGTCAATTTTATCATGAAGAATGTTTCTGGACAAAATCTGTGTATATAAATCGTATTGTTCAAGCATTATATCAATTAAATGATGTTCAATTTGATCTTCTTTCAACTTCACAATATCAACTTGATGTTTGTTGGCCTACAACAGAGTAGGATTTTGTATTTATCAATTTTAGAATATATAGATGATAAATATAATTGTAGATCAATTGATATTCGTCCAAAAAATCTGTCTGAATCTCTATCAAGATTACGTACGAATAGTATATCAAGTTGTTTATCAATGGTATATACCAACAAGAATTGATTTAGTTGTAAAATAAATTTTTTTATTCTAGGATAGTATATCTTCACAATCGATAATATCATCTTCTTTTCCTTTGACTTTATCATCACTTCAAGTACGAGATAGAAAAAGGAGAATAATATGAATGAAAAAAAATTCTTTATTTTAGAATTTTGAATCATCAATGCATGATGATAGTTTAGCTTGTTCAATTTCATCTACTGATGAATATCCAGAGAATACTTTAAATTATTGGAAAGAACGGTAAATTATTTGTTTGAATAATTTTCAAAATTGAATTCATGTTTTTCATAGTTGTCATCAATTAGAACTTCAATTACAGACAAATCCTCATAATTCATTATCGAATGATATTGAAATTCAATGTTCAGTAGATAAACATGATGCAATGAGTCAAACAATAGGAGATGATAGTATATCGAAGAATGAAATAGAAAATTGGAAAATTCAAAATGATGTATTAAAAGATGAAATAAATAATCTCAATTTTCAACTTTCTACTTTTATAATTCAACGTACAACGACTGAAAATGTAAGAAATAATATTTCTGATTAAGAATATCGAAATTTTTATCAAATCTCATTGTTCACCTATAGTATTCGGTTAACAATCTTGTTATATTTTAGAAAATGAAAGATTCCGAACGTGAAATAACGAAATATCAAACTCTATTGGAAACGAAAGATAAGGTTTATAATGAATTACAACGTAAATTTAATGAACATACCAGCCATCTCAAATCTATTGTATGTATATATTTATTATTCAAAATAATCAACAGACTTTGTTTTTTTTCCAGCAAGAACAACATTCAGTTCAGTCAAATCAACAAGAAAAACGACTGGAACAATTGACAAATGAACTTAAAAAGGTAACTTATTTCATTTTATTGATAAATATAAATAATTGATATTAATTTTAGACAACACAATTACTTGAAAATGAACGAATATTAATCGAAAAAGAACGAGTAAAAATAAATTCTAAGATATATATATTAATATCAAATGTATGTTTTTTTAGTCTGAACATAATCAAATTCAAGATCAACTTGAAGCTTCTATACAAGAAAAAACACTTGATTTTGAAGAAATGAAACGTCGATTAGTTAAAGCTGTTCGGTATAGTATTCATTGTAATCTAATTTTTTATAAGTTCTTTTTTCCTTTTTTGTATTTTAGCGAAAAAGCTGATTTATTTAATTCAATTTATTCGTATGAAATTAAACTTGAAGAAGAACAATCTAGACAATGGGTACATGAAGAAGATGTTTTAAAATGTACAAAATGTGAAACAACATTTGGATGGACTTTGAAAAAAGTATATCTATAAAAAATTTTTAGAATTGATTTTTATTAAATGAATTCTTTCCTATAGTATCGTTGTCGTCATTGTCAAAAGATATTTTGTTATTATTGTTCAAATCATTGGCAACCAGGTTCAACACCAAAGTACGTTTATACTAATTTTGTTTTCGTCGAAGAGAAAAAAATAATAAAACTTTTCTCTATTTTAGTACTCAACATCGGCTGTGTGATTTTTGTAATGAAAAATTTGTAAAAGAATCATTAATGTCAAATTATACAATGCTCGATGATCCAGATAATAATAATGAAACAAAAAATGATGTTGATCTGAAATTTGAAGTACGATCTGAACGTTTAAACTCAACAACAAACGACAATTCTCCATTATCTGAAGATCAACAGATATAAAATCTCTATTTTTTCTCAAGCTTGCAATAATATGCGTGTATTATTTTTGTTGTATATATATTTTTTTATGGGATGTGAAGGAAAGCATTTTTGTAGTTCTTCACGAGTTGCTTTTTACATACTTTCTTCGATAAATAAAAGTTATCATTTTGTATCGCAATCATCTCAATTATTGAAAATCTGAAAATATCTAGATCGAACCGATATCTTTTGTTTTCCGATCTTTCATACGAGGTTCAGTTCGATTGTAGGAAGCTTCGTAAAAATACAGCTTTGGTTATGAACTTTGTGTTTTTGTGGGTGTTGATATCGCTTCATTCTACTTTCACCCACTCACGCTCACTCTCAAGTTTCTAAACTTCTTTAATTTGGTTTTATATTACGATTAATGTATAAAATCAGTAAAACTGAAATGTTTGTTTTCTGTTATGAATATTTGCAAGATATTGTTTGATTGTCATAATCTTACTTTACTTTTTCACAGTAAAATAGAGATAAAGTGGTATTCTTATGTTGAACCTTTAATGAAGAAACTAACGATATATTATAAAATTACCAAATCTTTATTGATGCATAAAATAAGCCAGATATTATCAACTATACTAGCGTTCAAGAAGAGAATGAGATAAGATACAATAATGCACAAAAAAGGGGTGTGGGTGTGAGTGTAAAATAGATAGTGTATCCGCACCTACATCCACTCACATCCATACCCTCAAAAGAAAGTTTATGTTGCCGACGGAAGATTTATTCAAAACGATTGAAACTAATTTTTTGTCGGATTTAAACGTATTTTGATGAAATTTGAAATTTTTGTAGTTTCTTTATTATTGAATGGTTTATTTTCTAAAAAAACAGTAAGGAAATATTCGATCTTTATGTGATCATTATCAAACCTTTTACGAAAATAGATGTTACATGACAAGAATGTTAAACAAAAACCATCAACACGAACATATTTATATACAACATAATCATATACACTATAAACATGTATAATATAAACATAAATATCACAGATCAAGTTTTTAAATTCTACTTTTATATAATTATGTATGAAAAATGTAAATAAACTTGAGATTTTAATTTCTTTTATTTTGTTCTGTAAAAAGATTGATAATAATCGTATAAAGATGGAAAATTTCTTTATCATTATATAAAAATGAATCATTTAATAAATAAAAAAAAATTCAATTTTCATCAAAATTAATTAAAATTTCAAGACTATTTATGTTTTATATACTTTAAAAAAGTAGTTTTGGTAAATCTTAGGACAACAATCGTATTTATCATAGTTTCAAACCTTTTCAAGGAGAATCAAATGAAATTGATTATTAAAGAGTTAAGATTCCAAGTCTACAATCATACACTACTATTTTCAGAAAAACTCTTCGTATTCTCACTTTTTCTTCATGAGAATAATGCAACATATTCGTTTTAGATACAGTAGAAATTATTTTTGACAGTCGTTATCAAACAACAGTGTCCTAATTATTAAATAAGATCAAAGTATACTTTTCTATTAGAGAAATTCTTATAGATTTTTATTTTCTTAAAAAAAAAAATAAAAAGTCATATTGAAATGAAAAGAATTTATTTCGAATAAATGTAAAAAATATTTAATAACAATGATAAAAGGTAAAAGCCACACATTTTTGTTGTACGAGACATAAGCGAAGTAAAGAGCGACAAAAATTTATAAGCGTGAATAAATATAGGAACAAAGCCCTTGGATCTCAATGGATCCATCATGAAAAATATGTAATTAATCAAAACAAAAAGAAGAAGAATATAAGTACTATATTTATTGTCAGCTCTCAGTTATTGCCATAGTCACATATCAATAATGATCGGCATCCATACTCACACACCTTTAGTACCGTGCAAATCGTTGCACTCGGTGATTACCAGTATCTGCCACATATAAATTGAATTGACTATCTAGTGTTACTCCATAGGGTCCATTTAATTGAGTAGCACTTGTGCCAGACGAACCACTAACACCGGCTATTGTTGTAGCACTGGATTGACCAGCTAAAAAGAACTGGATCCGATGATTGCCTGAATCAGCTACATATGTATTTCCATATTGATCAATTGCTACACCAATTGGACCATTTAAAAGTGTCGACGAAGATCCGCTTACTCCAGTGCTGCCAGCAAGAAGTGTCCAACTAGTATCACCTATCACCCAACGAACTACATTATGGGCACCATAATTGGCAATTATTAAACTATTCGTCGATGAATCTAGAGTAAATCCGTATGGAGTCGATAACTGTGTGCTGTTTTTTCCCGCACCATTTCCACCAGCCACCACCGTGCCTAACGAAGCACCGTTAAGGTATTGCACGATACGTTGATTTCCTACATCACTGATATATAGAGTACCCGTGCTCGAAACACGTTCAATACTATTACAAGCATTAAACTGATTGTTTGCACTTCCGGCAGAACCTGAAGACAGATCGAATATAATGATATTTTATGAAAAAATTCTGTTACTACTACATTTTGTTTCTATTTTATTCTGATAATAAAATCTAGTTAGGAAATAAGACTACAGCATTCAAATTGTTTATTTATTTTTATTTATATTGCTCAAAAAGACTATTGACTTGTGAAGCATTATTTCTATTATTCTACAGATTTGGAGACAATATTATTTCAAGGTTGTATCGCTACGATTTCAAATAGCAAGACTGACGAGTTATATAAAAAATAAAGGTCGTAAAAATGGGATTTCATTCTGTATAGATTTCATCAGCACTGCTATTTGAAATTACAGGAATACGTCCGTGAAAGAATATTCCCTCTAACCCTATATTAAATTACTATTGATCTACTTATCGATATATATAACAAGTGAGTCTGTTCACGTTTCTGGCCTAAATATCAAATCTTAAATACAAACAAATTATTTCTCCACCATGTTCGTTTTACAAGACAATTTGTAAGAAAGTCAAAGCATTTGAAAAGCTTTTTGAACTGTTTTTATAATAATAGTAAGAACGGTCGACGAATATTAAACCTATAAAATAATTCTTTTCATACCCTTTTCAGGAACAAGTATATCATGTTTTGATGGTTTCATAGCTAGCAAGCTTGAATAGGGTGTTCTGAGTACAATAGAGAATAAAAACTTTTCATTTTTCTTACCTGTTCCAGCGATTGTCGATCCAGATGATGCACCATTAGCCCAGTATATAACTCGCTGATTGAGTTTATCTGCAATGTACATGTTGTTACTTGAGTCGATTGCAAGACCGACTGGCTCATTAAGAGTAGTAGAAGAAGCACCTGATGTTCCGTCTGCCTGTCCGGCAGCGGTGACACCACTTGAGCTACCTATGACCCATTTTTGTATTCGATTGTTTAGCAAGTCCGAGATATAGAGAGCATTTGATAAATCAAGTCTTACAACATAAGGTACATTGAGCAGACTTGCGGTTCCTCCTGCCGTACCGCCCGCATTGCCAGCGACAGTGATGCCCGTAGCGTTCCATCGTGCTGCAAGGAGTGTTGCTATAAAAAAAAAGAATTTAACATAGATAAACAAGAAATGTTTGGTCTTAATTTTAAAATATTATCAAGAAGTAATTAGAAAAACATATATCCACGTTATCAAAAAAGAAGATATCCAATTATAGTGTAGAATTATATAGATTGCAGCCTTCTTCAAAAAAGAGTCATGTATGATAAAGCATGTACGTAAACTTACGCATATCACATAGACTTTTCGATTTTATCTTACCGAATACGATCTACCTTCATAGTTTAATGTACAATACAGCGTGGAACAAGAATGGGAGTGGGTGTGGGTGTGTATGCACTATCTATTCTCCCCTTCCACCCATGCCCACACTGTCATATCATCTAACATATTACTAACTTGTTGTAGTAGTTGTTGTTGTAGTACTTGTTGTTGTAGTAGTTGATGTTGTCGTGGTTGAGGTTGTCTTAGTTGATGTTGTCGT